TTAGAACTTAAACTGACAGATGTGGTGAAAGTTCACAGTACAGTGTTATAACTTGGGAAGTTGGATTCTAAAGTAGAGACAAATGGCTTTTTGATTTTTAGTCTTGTGAAGGTGTCTTATTTTTATTGAGAAACGTTATTTCAGAACAAGGTCAAAAGAGCTTTTCCAAAAAAATTTGTGACTTAAGCAAGATGACAAGGGAAATACATGATGAGATTATTGCTGAAGTGTTTACTAAGTTCAGCCTTTGTGACCTACAAAAAGACGAACCAAAGGTCAGAAGCAGATTTAGTTTGGAAGAAATGACTATTATAGCAGAACAACAGTTTACTTTAGTATTTTCCAGGCTACCAGAGCTGGAAAGAAGTCTTAAGTGATTTTAACAGTCCAAGTAGATAGGGTTGAGATCAAAACCCTCAACTTTTCTTGGGGTTCAAAGAAAGATATTGGTGAGTTAGTTTGTCTGTGCATCTTAAGGAAGGATGGAGAAAATCACATCTAGTGAGTGTACAAGAATTCACTAAAAATAAATATTTGTGACCTAATTAGTTAAGAATGACATTAAAGAGTGAATATAGATTAATATTTCACTGGGGTTGAGTGACTGTAAGGAAAAGTTTTTTTTGGTGTTAATCATAAGATTCTTCCAAAATTGTCCAGTTTATTTTTATTTTATTTAATAAATGTATGTTCTTTTCTTAAAGGTATATCGGCAGCCTCATGTGGATTTGTTCAGTGACTGACCACCAAAACCAAACTACAAAAGTAAAACGTATCAAGCTAGGTTTCAATCAAGGATCTGATTTATCCAGTATTACCATCAGCTGGGACCATAACATAGTAAACTGCACAAATTCTGCCAAAAAATCCAACCTAGGATTGCACATACTTGAAAACAGTGTAGTATATGCTGCTCCCACATTCTTTCTCTCCTTTATCACATCATTACGGACTCATTGCTAGATAAAGAATGCTGTTTGCACAGTATTCATTTATAGTTTTTAACATGACCACTCACCTTTATAGAAAAAAATGCTCTTCTGGTCATGGAAATGACTGGCTGGATTCCAACAGTAGTAATATATTGCCCAATCTATGTTCAATGATATGCACAGAGAGCTTGGATTACAGCAATGATCCTTAATATAAACACAGTATAGTTTTCATTTTCTTAATCCTCTGACAGGTCATAGTTCAAAATACCATCACAGTCCTCGATTAAGCTTGTCTTTCAAACAACTGCGTTTCACTTCTGATATGTAGCTGGGAAAACTAGGAAATTTCTCTGGCCACAAAATTCTGTTCAGCTACACTGATGGAGCCAGTGTTTTTCTGTTCAAAGAACCCTCCCACCTTCTCCATCCTCACTGATGTTATTAAAAGGCAAGGCATCTAACTTTCTTTGTTATGCTTTTGGACTGCATTTAGTTCTTGCAAAGTTGGTGGAAGTGCACAATGTATTCTTGGGAAAATTTTGGTGATTTTTCAATGACGTCGTTGCAACCACTGGGCAGGGAGAACTTTTCTGGCCTGTTTATAGAAAGTTTGATTATTGTAGGTGCCAACAGTACAGTTGCAGCCCCTCTTCTACCTCGGCAAGGATATGGAGCACAATCTGCAGATAAGTAAGTTAAATGTAAAGGAAGCTGGCTCTCAGCAGAAAATCCCAATTACCAAGGTTACTTTGGAAGCACTTCTTATATTACCATGTCAGCCAGAAGCAGACAACCATGATTCACCATATCCCAGAGGGAGAAAAAAACAGTACATGAAAACCACTGATATAACGAGGTGTAGAGCTGGATGAGAATTTCTGAAGAAGGGTCCATGCCCAAAATGGCAGCTTTCCTGCTCCTCTGATGCTACTTGGCCTGCTGTGTTCATCCAGCTCTACACCTTGTTATCTCAGATTCTCCAGCATTGGCAGTTCCCACTATCGCTGGTTCAGTTGAATATTCTTGGTTAGGGGTCCTTGCCTCTGGATTTCAAAGAGTGACCTGCAGTAAGACCTGTGGTCCCATAGCAACCAGTCCAGGGAACAGGGCTAACACAGTTAGGGAAATGTATAACCACCAGTCAGGGGTCTGGGCATTTCTCATCTGAGGTATCTAGTTAGGTCACTCAAGGGGGTGGTGCACAGTCGGTCCATGGTTCCACACAGAAACTAGTGGAAAGGTGGGCTGAGATGCAGATAAGCAGGGGAGGGGCTATGCTGCTGCAGAAAGGAGACTTGGGAATCTATTTGTGGAGATTGGGGCTGCAGATTAGGAGGTAGAAGATATGGCAATTATGAAGGGTTAGCTACTGTATTTCTAAGGGCGGATTATAGTAAAGTATGGATGGATTGGCCTAATGTATGTGTTTGTGTTGTGGGGGGAGGTCGTGGCATCACGATCAGGAGCACCCTGGCTCCAAGGGAGAGAGTCAGTTTGTATGATAATGCTAGGCATGGTTACCTCATATGGCAAGGGACAAAATTAGGAGGAGCAGGCTCATTTGGGGCGGCACGGTGCCTCAGTGGTTAGCATTGCTGCCTCACAGTGCCAGGAACCCAGGTTCGATTCCACCCTCAGGTGACTGCCTGTGTGGAGTTTGCACATTCTTCTTGTGTTTGCGTGGGTTTCCTCCAGGTGCTCCGGTTTCCTTCCACAATCCAAAGATGTGCAGGCTAGGTAGATTGGCCATGCTAAATTGCCCATAGTGTCTGGGGATGGGTCTGTGTGGGGATACTCTGAGGGTCTTGGTTTGGATTTGTTGGGCTGAGGGGCCTGTTTCCATACTGTAGGAATTCTATATTCTATATAGATGGGCTAAATGGGGGCAGGGAAGTGTGAAGTGTTCACAGGAAGGCCTATCAGGAAGCGAATCTAGATGTTCAGGATTGCGCAACATGGAGAAGGGTCACCATCTGTTGTGCTGGAAATTGAAACTACGCAATGGGATAGAAAATGGCTGTGACCTCACCAGGAGTGGGTGTGGCAGGTGATTCAACCTGTAAGGGAAGGGACTGCAGACCCACTGAAGTGTGCTCCTTTGGAGGGCAAGAACATTACACATACCCCTGTACAATAGAAGACCAAAAATTACAACCTCGCCAACACTAATACATTGGCACTTTGCATGCTTCACCCGTTCCTGTCCTAGATATCACTGACCACTTCATTCAACACCAATACATTTGGACACAGAGGCTAGAAAAAGAATACAAATGGTTGACCAAGAGGGAAATTGGTGCCAGCAGAACCCAGTGCCCTATGTGCTCCTTCTTCATTTTGTTTCCAAAGGTTGCAGCAAGTTCTCAACACAGACATCGATCTGTGGTACATCCTGTATAGACATGCTGCTAGGCATCCTTACGGCACACTTGCATTCAGGCCTAAACAGTGAATCAACCAAAAAGATGTAGTGGAAAACTATTAACACTTCTTGAAAACTGAGAATTTATGTCACCTTTGCCCCTGATGTGCTCACAAAAGGATTTATTTTTCATACCCTCCCACAATGTCTCAGTGTTGTCCCAGGACCCGCAGATAGAGTGGATGGAGTATGCTCGGCAGTGGAGCCTGTTAACCTCACAGATTTGGTCTGGCAATCCTATGGGCATTTGTGTCTGGACAATGCAGACATGCTGAGGGCCTCCTTGTCAGAGGTAATTGGACCCTACTCAATTTAAACATTCAAGGGTCATAGGGTGACAAGCGAGGTGGTGGTGGAGGTGCTACGCACTTCTGGAGTGCCCTGAGAGAAGACCTTTGAGGAACCTGTTTGTTGTTCTTCCACCATCTCACCTGGTGAGGTAGAGGCTACAGGAGTGAGGTATTCTGTCCCACTGTCGCCATGCCTTTGGCCTTGAGGAGCGATGGCTTGGGCAATGGAGTCTGTGTGCATACCCAGCAGACTGTAAGTGCTGGATCTGTCTGTCCATTTCAGCTACCAAATTGTCCCTGAAGGTAGCCAGTTAATTGCATTCTTCACGCTTCGGGTCCCCATCACATTGCAACCTTTGGACTGTGAGGACCATTGCCACCCAAAACTTGCCTGCTACTCTTGTTCTGCCCAAAGCATGTGAACAAAGTTCCTGATTACTGGCACCACAGGATCCTCTTCTGCCTGGGGATGAGCAGGTGCTTGGTCTCAGGCAGTTCTCTGAGTGACTGTAGCCTGAGGTATTTCTTCTTCAGCCAGCTACAGAGCAGTCGCAGTGAGGTGTTCACCAGCTTGTGCTTCCAAACTTTCAAAACCTGATGTCTCTACTGAAGTATCAGTATCTGAGCTGGTAAGTGTTACAGGAGCCTTCTTCTGAGGCATCTGAACTCTCTTGCTCAGAGATAAAGAAAGTTCCTTCTGACAGAGTATCCGGTTTCTCCGTTGGAGCCATGGCTATCCCATTGGCAAGACACAAGAGAGATAAAGCATCACATCCAATGGTTAGAAATGGCATTCAATGAATGACTCTGATTAATGTGAGAATTGCACTGGAATGAAGTGTGGTAGCTACCTAATTGTTGGGGCATGGAGATCTCATCATCCCCACAGCAACAGTCCCTGTGTTCTCCTGTGAGAGACACAATTCTTTTCTTTAAGTGGGTGAGAATCCTGATTTCAGAAATCTACAACCATCATGGCTCTTTCTGCCCTTTTATTGGCCATTTTCAACTTTTAGGGAGAAAAAGGGAGGTGTTGAAAGTGGGTGGCACAGTTATTAGTGCTGGTGCAGGTAGTCAAAAGATGATCCTGGTTGATGGAGAAGCCAGCCCATAGGCCATGAAAGGTTAGTGGCGTGAGAAGTTTGGCAGGGGATGAGAGCAAATGAGGGAAGTTTTTGCAGGCAATAATGACAGAGGCAGATTGTTTCCCTTGGTGGGAGATGGGTACAGTAGCAGAGACAGACTTAGATTGAGGTGGCAGAGAGAGGAATGTGGAGCTTATCCTGTCAAAGTGGAGAAGGTCTTCTTGCAGCACTGCTGGCCATTTGTCCCGACTGTAGATACTGCACTGACCTGAGTGGTGACTTGGTGACTTTACCAAGATCCAGAGGTGTGGCCTCGTCTGCCAGTTCTCTGGGAAGTGGAACAGCCTTCCTCTGGAGCACCCTGTTCGCTAGGACCTCCAAATCATTGAGGGAGAATTGTGGAAACCTTTTCCCCTTTTGAGACATCTTTGGAAAGACAGCCTTTTGACATGCAGGGAAGCTTCGGAATTGCAGATCGGGATGTACAGCTGCCTTTTAAAGATGGCAGGGACATCATGGATGCTAGTCCTTCAGCAGGGTAGAATCAGTCTAGAGTCAGGCAAGAGGGGCGGGGTTAAGTGAGCAAGAGCTCGTCTTAGACCTCAAAGAGAGAAACCCTCCAAAAAAAACTCAATGAAGCTGATACTTAGCCAAAATAAAATAGAAAATTCAACCCTTTGAGTTTAAATCTCGGAATGGATTCTGGAAGCACGAGAGTATCAAAGTTCAATGTGGATTTTGACAAGCTTATGCAAATAATTGACCAGATCATGTGACCATTAACAGTTGCCGGAGAAGTACTGATATGGTGCATAGAAAAGAGGACTTTCGAGGGAATAAAAGATTATTTCAATGAGCTTTTGAGTAGAATCCACAGTTCTTAGTCATGACAAAACTCTTTAAGGAAATATGGTGGTTCTGAATGAGAGATGAGATATAGATATTTTTTCATTCCTCTTTCCTCATCATGGGTAAAGCTACTGATCTGTGTTTTCGCTTACAAAATTCTGTGGTAAAATTCTGGCGTGATCCTGGAATATTAAAATAACTGACTGATGAGTTTATATTCAGGAAACAGAGCTCAGCAGGTTTCAGATATTTTGAGGTGGAATGTAGTTGAAGCACCATCTGCAGGATGTTAACTGAATATTTCAAATCTAAAAGATTGAAATCATGGGAATGGGTATAGGTCATTAGGGCATTAGGTCATTCAACGAGATCATGAGGAGTATGCAATTTAATTCTGTATGTGCACCTTCACTTCATACCCACTAATACCTTTCGATGGCAAAAAATTAGCAATCTCAGATTTAAAATGAAGAATTGATATGGCACTACTTGCTATTTATGAAAGAGAAGACTAAAATTTTAACCACCCTTTCTGCATAAAAGTGTTTTTGAATTTCACTCCTGAAAGGTACCTCACTGATTTTTAGACAATGCCCTGTGTTAGAGTTCCCAGTCAGCATAAATTGTTTTGTTTCAGTTATGACCAGCTTATGTCAATTAAATGACATGTTCACTTTATAAATTCCAGTGATTATAATCCTAGTTTTTGTAATCACTCTTAACATAACCCTTGGAACGCAAGTATCCTTCCTAAGGTGTGGTACCTACATTTGTTCATAGTCCATCTATGTCTGACCATAGCTTTGTACAACAACGACTTATCTTCTACCTCCTTGTATTCTAATCTTATAGCTACAAAAGCCATAATTGAATTAGACCTTTTTTAAATTATTTTCAGTCATAAACACAATTTGGTTTTAAGTACTATTCCTTACATAGAACATCTGAGTGTTTTCAAGAAAAAATGAGTGATGAATAGGAGATGCACAGAGATATAGTGTGGGAAGGGAGGTGTGGAGTAAGAGGGTTGTTGTGAGAGACTGAAGACACAGTAGAGGTGAAAGTTTGTATGAATCTTTTCAAAAAAGTGCAGTGGTTTTGAAGATAATTCCAAATATCGGAAAATAGACACTGAGAAAAGATCTTACTGTAGCACCTGAGCCCTGAATGGTGTAACTTGAATAAATAACTGAAGAAATAAATAGCAATATCTTGAAAAGTGCCCATATTACAGAGGAGGAGGTGCTGGATGCCTTAAAACGCATAAAGGTGGATAAATCCCTGCGACCTGATCAGGTGTAACTTAAAACTCTGTGGGAAGCTAGGGAAGTTATTTCTGGGCCCTTTGCTGAGATATTTGTATCATCGATAGTTGTGAGTGAGATGCCGGAAGACTGGAGGTTGGCTAATGTGGTGCCATTATTTAAGAAAGGTGGTAAGAAAAAGCCAGGGAACTATAGACAGGTGAGCCTGACACCAGTGGTGAGCAAGTTGTTGGAGAGGATTCTGAAGGACAGGATTTACATATATTTGGAAAGGCAAGGACTGATTAGGGATAGTCAACAAGGCTTTGTGCATGAGAAATCGTGTCTCACTAACTTGATTGAATTTTTTGAAAAAGTGACGAAGGCAGAGCGGTGGATGTTGTCTATATGGACTTCAGTAAGGTGCTCGACAGGTTCTCCATGGTAGACACACTTAACAAGGTTAGATTACATGGAATACAGGGAGAACTACAAAATTGACTCAAAAGTAGGAGACAGAGGATGGTGGGAGAGAGTTGTTTTTCAGACTGGAGGCCTGTGACTAGCGGTGTGCCGCAAGGATCAGTGCTGGGTCCACTGCTTTTTGTCATGTATATAAATGATTTGGTTGTGAACGTAGGAGGTATGGTTAGTAAGTTTGCAGATGACACCAAAACTGGTGGTGTGGTGGACAGTGAAGAAGTTTACCTCAGAATATAATGGGCCAATGGGCAGAGGAGTGGCAGATGGAGTTTAATCAAGATGAATGTGAGGTGCTGCATTTTGGAAAGGCAAATCAGGGCAGGACTTACACACTTAATGGTAAGACCCTGGGGAGTGTTGCTGAACAAAGAGACCTTGGAGTGTAGGTTCATATTTCCTTGAAAGTGGAGTCGCAGGTAGATAGGGTAGTGAGGAAGGCATTTGGTATGTTTGCCTTTATTGGTCAGTGCATTGAGTATAGGAGTTGGGAACTCATGTTGCAGCTGTACAGGACATTGGTAGGTCAATTTTGGAATACTGCATTCAATTCTGGTCTCCCTGCTATAGGAAGGGTGTTGTGAAACTTAAAAGGGTTCAGAAAACACTTACAAGGATGTTGCCAGAGTTGGAGGGTTTGAGCTATAGGGAGAGACTGAATTGGCTGGGGCTATTTTCTCTGGAGCATTGGAAGCTGAGGGGTGACCTTATCAAAGTTTATAAAATTATGAGGGGCATAGATAGAGTAAATAGGTAAGGTCTTTTCCCCAGGGTAGAGGAGTCCAAAACTAGAAAGCATAGGTTTAAGGTGAGAGGTGAAAGATTAAAAGGGACCTAAGGGACAACTTTTTCACGCAGAGGGTGGTGCACGTATGGAATGAGCTGCTAGAGGAAGTGGTGGAGGTTGATACAATTACATCATTTAAAAGGCATCTGGATGGGTACATGAATAGGAAGGGTTTAGAGGGATATAGGCCAAGTCCTGACAAATTAGACTTGATTAATTTAGGATATCTTGTCAGCATGGACAAGTTGGACTGAAGGGTCTGTACATCTCTGTGAATCTGTGACTCTATAAGATGACTGTATCAGACAAAGTAAGAGCAGTATGTCTGTTAGTATTACAGCCAGAATGTTGTCAGTACTCCCATAGTGATCTGCTTTTCTGCATATACGGAAAGAGTTCTTCTCTGCTTGACAGTGAAGGGGGTGGGAAGATTGTTATGGTGCGTGCTAGCTGCCTGTGTGACAAATATATTACATATTTATTCAACTAAATGAGCATTTTGGAAAGTGAGTAAGGTCTTGTTTTCAGTGCAGTAAAGGGGGGCCATTGTCAATCGGGGTCCCAGTACTGTCAGTTGCTGGTTCAGTCCACAAACAATCCAGGGGCTTGGCCCTGGTCAGTTGCTTGCTCAGGCCATTAAGAATCAGGGGACATGTCTGTCTGCAGCCCAGGGAGTGGGCAGCAGTTAGACCTGTAGGGCCATCACAAGCAGCAAAAGGAATTGCATATCATCAGCTGGCGATCTGTGAAGACAATGGTCTGGGGTCTGGTCAGTCTTGTCCAGGGCTGCTCATCTAAGTTGGGCAGAGACCTGCAACGAATATTGTCCGGGAGCATCAGTGCATTTATCGTTGATGAGTGTGCATATGGGGGTGGCCGACGTTGTGTTGTCGGGTCAAAGAAATGATCATTGACAAAAAAGATGTGGGACAGTGGGGGTTGGGTGGAAAGCAGAGACATGTGTTGAGGTGGGGACAAGGATAGTGATAAGGTTGGTGAACTCAGGATATAAGGGGTGTAGGCAAAAAAGCATTGGAGGATATGGCAGGCTACAGAGTGGGTAGTTATTGGCAGTGTTCTCCACCATGGCCTCTACAGGTGGATTGCAGAGGAGCAGGCTGGAGAGTGAAGGGACAAGTACACGAAACATGAGTTGCAAATTGCAGATACATTTAATTTACAATCATCTCAATGTCCATTTGTAATGTGTGCAGAATAAACATCTTTAAGGTTCAGATGCTGGTCAAACACAATTAGCATACGTCATTGGTCCTTGCAAGTTGAACATTGTCATCTCACTGACAAGAATTTAGTGCTGCTGGCTCCATAACACTGCACTGTGAAGAGGCAATGGCCTAAATACTGGAATGACACATGTTGTGGTGCTTTCTAACTGTCTTTTTTAAACATTAATTCATGGGATGTTGGCATCTCTGGCTGGGCCAGCATTTATTTTGTGACCCATATTGCCCTTGAGAAGGTAGTAGTGAGTTGCCTTCATGAACAGGAATACAGAGTACTGGGTTAGTGGTAAGATTCTTGGTAGTGTGGATGAGCAGAAAGATCTCGGTGTCCATGTGCATAGATCACTGAAACTTGCCACCCAGGTTGATAGCGTTGTTAAGAAGGCATACAGTATGTTAGGTTTTATTGGTAGAGGGATTGAGTTTCGGAGCCATGAGATCATGTTGCAGCTGTACAAAACTCTGGTGTGGCCGCACTTGGAGTATTGCGTACAGTTCTGGTCACCGCATTATAGGAAGGATGTGGAAGCATTGGAAAGGGTGCAGAGGAGATTTACCAGGATGTTGCCTGGTATGGAGGGAAGGTCTTATGAGGAAAGGCTGAGGGTCTTGAAGCTGTTTTCGTTAGAGAGAAGAAGGTTAAGAGGTGACTTGATAGAGACATACAAGATGATCAGAGGATTAGATAGGGTGGACAGTGGGAGCCTTTTTCCTCGGATGGTGATGGCTAGCACGAGGGGACATAGCTTTAAATTGAGGGGTGATAGATATAAGACAGATGTCAGAGGTAGGTTCTTTACTCAGAGAGTAGTAAGGGCGTGG